TTATCTTCTATATCTGAAATTCTGTCCTCACATTGGCTCATTCTGCTGTGTAGACTTTCAGTGGAGGTTTTGATCTCCTGGAAGTCTGTTTGCATCTGTTTTATGGATTCCATTCATTTCCTATGTTGGGATTCCATCATGTTCCTGAGTTGCTCTCTAGATTTATTACTCATGTCTTGCACTATGAGCACACTCTGGTGTTATCTGAGAAATTATTTCTGATTTCATTTTTTCCAGATCCTCTTTTGTTGCCAGTTCCGGGAGTCCAGGTGGTTGAGTATCAGATTGTTCCATCTCGTTTCCCTTTGGGGTTGCTGTGGGTGATCTAGAAGTCTGGTTTTGAGACTTGTTTACATGTCTTCTCATTTTGACTGGGTGGGGTGCTCTTGGTACCCTTGTGGCTCACCTCCTCTAACCTGGGAGTGGTGGGATGGAGGCTCAGAAGCCCCTCCCTCTGGGCCGGGAACAGCAGGAAGGACAGGACGAAGCCCTCTGGAAGCCCCTGCCTCTGGGCTGGGAGTGGCAGGACAGATGGGGGCCCAGAAGGCCACTCCTTTGGGCCAGAGTGGAGGCCTGGAAGCCCCTTCCTCTGGGCCAGGAGTGGCGGGATGGGAGCATTTTTCTTATGTCCAAACTGTGTTACAGTGTTTTTCTTTTCTTTATTAGATGCAGTTTGTTTGTTTTCTGAGTCAGGGTCTCACTTTGTACTTCAGGCTAGCCCTGAACTCATTATGTAGCCCAGGCTGGCCTCAAACTCATGGTAATCCTCTTGCCTTAGCCTCCCATTTGCTGGGATTGCAAGCCTGAGCCACCATGCTTGCCTTAGATGCAGTTCATACTTAATTTATACTTTTTCTACTCATATTGTTCTTCAGCTTCTTTCTTTCTGAATAAAAAGATATCACTGTGCTTACTCACTCTTCAGTTAAAAAGATGCAGATTGGCATTGCATCACTTCTGCATCTTAGCCGTGTGACCTCAGTCTAATTACTGATCCTCTCATTTTGATTTGCTTTTCTGTAAAGTTGAATGTTAATATCACTTGTTTTACTAGATTTTGTGAGGCTGAAAAAAGATTCTACCCAAGTAAAAGACTTAGGCCACTACCAGCCATACTTTAAGTCTGGTACTTTTACTATTCTTGCCAGTTTATCTGTCCTGTGAAGGATTCCAGTGTCGGCAGTTTTTAGACAAATGTTACACCGGTGACCTCTCAGGTGGTAAGTGTGGAGGTTGATAGGAATTATTTTAAGTAGATAAAAAAGTTAAAGGAAAAAGATGCTCCTTGGTTCATATGAAGCTGCTGGTTATTTCTAACATACTATCAGCTTATTTTTCAGGATTCTTTATTTTCTTTTTTGCTTCTATTCTGCCACCATATCTTTCCTGGATAACCTTAAGATGTATGATAAAGAAGAGAGACAAATAAAAAAAATTTGAAAAAAGAACATTGGGAAACTATTTACTAGAATTGTGTCTTTTGTTGCTATTTATCATAGGACTTTTCCAGAATGGACATGGTAACATTTTATAATCAGTCTCATGTTTGGATTGATAAAGGTCTTTTAGTCACTTTAGTATTTGTGATTTTTTTTTATTCTTTACTGTTAGAATAAAAAATATTTTTTAAATTCTAGGTAGAACCCATTTTATATATAATATTCTAAATATGAGCCTGTCTTCATGCTTTAAATTATAGTAAATTTAAATGAGCAGATAAAAGTAGGAGAAATAGAAATGTAGTAAAGGGATAGGTGATATTGTTTACATTAGTGACTCTTACAGCTATCACTCACTTCCACGTGGGAGTTGGAGAGAATACAAAGAACAGCCATAGGAGAGATCATTGCCTTGCTTAACTGATCAGAAAACTTTATTTTTTATAAGTCTGTTTCCCTGGATTTAAACAATTGATTTACTCTTTTTAGACAGGAGAAAACAAAGGATGGAGTAGTCCAAAGACTGGGTTTCCTGAACCAACCAATAACAGTAAGTTCTCATTTTGTGTTACCTGCAGTTGGTATTCATCACTGGTACTGATTGAGATTGCTGTGTTACATATATATTTGTATCCTTAAAATGGGTAAGCTATTACATACTGAATACCATTTAATACATATATAGTTATGACATTTTCTCTTTTTTATTAAAATATTCTTTAAAATTAAAAAAGAAGTAATTATCTACAAATAATTAGCAATCAAATCAACTGTTTTCAGCTTTGATTTTTTTCAGTGTACACACAAGTATGCATGCATGCATGTGTGTATGTGGTACTGGGATTGAACCTATGGCTTTCATTGAGTATATCCCAAACACTTTAAAAATATTTATTTATTTATTTATTTGGAGACATATTTTGCTAAGTCTCTGAGTTGCTGAGATTAGGCTCAAACTTACTTTCTTGTCTCAGCCTCCCAGAGTGCTGGGATTATAGGTATGCACTACCATGCCGGGCACAAATTTTTATATAATTGTAATATTGATAAATATTATGTTATTTTCACCTAACATTGTCATAAGTATTTTTCACGTTTTGTAGGGTCATAAAAATTGTATTTTATTGAAGTCACTAAATAAATATGAAAAATGTAAATATAAAATTACTTCACACTCTTGCTCTACTTACAGTATTATCAGACGCTTAAAAATCAATGCCAAGTTATTCCCTTTTTTCAAATGTATGTGATTAACCTTTTGCATTAGTCAGATGGATGTTTTTCTTTAACAACTCCCCGAGCATAAAGCATCCATTTTCACTGAAGTGACCATTTTACCAATCAGTCAAAGCATTTGGTCAGTTAAAATACTCAATCTTTATAACTTCTAACCTTCTTTCTCTTTCTTATCATCTCTGATGCTGAAAAAGGCTTAAATCTGCAAATTGGCAGTTGTTTTCTTGAGGTATTTATAATGAAATTAGTAACAGTTCTTATCAGAGCATGCTGATAAGAGTTGAGTTCTTGGGTAATCAAAACTAACCTCTTGAGAAGAATATTTCAGTGAGGTAATTGATTCTTGGGCCCTTTCTGGAGTAATTTAACATGCCTGTAAAGCCGTGGACTGTATGTGTAAGAGTGATAATGTGGTGGGTTCATTTAGCACAGAGCCCAAGGAAAAATGGAGTCATTTCAGCATTCTTCAGAGTTTGTATTTAATTCCTTTGATGTTTGAATATATTGGTTTATAATCACTTGGTAAGCAAATTAAACATTAAATTGATGGCAGTTTTATGTAAAGTACTTAGCACAGTGCTTGTTCTTAGTAAACTTGTAATGAATGTTTCTTTCTATGTCTCCTTTCCCCTTCTTTGATAAAAATGATAAAATTTCATATACATTTGCCAGAAATTTCGTTCTCATACTTCTTATGTGTACTTTTTTGCGTGCACATTGTGACCAAAGAATATTTAATTTATTCTTAGTTACACTTTGATACCAATCATTATTTTGAAGAATATGAACATTACATATTTGAATATAGAGGTGATATAGTAATTAATTTGACAATTTTAACATTAACTCACATTGTAGACAACTTGAAAGCTGTATATATTAAATTTTGGCCTTCAGCATTATGTGGTTGATTTTTTTTTTAACTTGCTAAGGGTGATTGGAATTGCTTTCCACGTATGGGAAGGGATATCACAAAGATACCAGTGAGTTTAAGTGACCAAAAATATGAGAATGCATAAACATTTGTTGTAAACATAAAGTTAAAAGTGATAAAGCTATTTGAAGCCAGTTTAAAACTTAAACTGTGAAGGCTTGTGAATTCCTCGGTGTATGATGGTACAAATTGAGAATTTGAAAGAAGGGGTTCCCTCGCTCGTTCCCAACTGTGAGGAGTGAGAAAGCTGACATGAAGGCTCTTCAGAGGAACCATTGGTGGTCCTGCCTCAGGATACATAGAGGATGAAGGCAGCCCAACTCTCAAAGAGTAGTGACAGTTTCATTACCCAAGGGCTGGTTCTCACCAGTGAAGCCCCAGATCCTCCTGCAGCCAGCTCAGAGCTGATTAAATGGATTAGGAAAAAGTTGGTTTCTGTTAGGAATTGACAACTGAGGTGATAAATCAATTATCTAAAAATAGAACTGGGATTTAGCTCAGTGGTTCTGCTGCCTGCCTCGCAAGCACAAGGACCCGAGTTTGATCTCTGGTACCAAAAAAAAAAAAAAAAAAAATCTAACAATTAATTTAAATTCATGTATTATGGTAACATTTAGACAAGTTCTTTTGTACTTTCTTAGTCTCTTAAATTTGAAATTCTGCTGTTTCTGCCCTGTGAAGAATACCTATGTTAGCATTTTGCAGGCAGAGGTTAGAGCAGGGATCTCTAGAATGCCACCTGTCAGAGAAGACAAGAATTTGAAGTTGCCAGTGCTAGCTGCCTCACTGGCATATTGTCTGACCTTTAACCAGTTATTTTACATCTTTTTATTCAATGTGCTCTGTTATGCATACCAATTTATAATGTTGAGACTCTTTAATAATGCAACTACTGCATGGTTGAATAACATTAGAAAAGGTAACATGTTACTTTGTATCATCATAAAGTGACTCTTCATTTTTTTTTTTTTGGTCCTTGTAGTTTAAAATTGTAATCTTGAGGATCAAATTTCTAACCAGTGATTATTTAGGTAAATAATACAAAATTAATTTGAAAGCATAATGTAGAAAAACTAAAAGAAGGAAATGTAGAATTGGAAAGGGTGAAGAAGGGCATTTTATTTTATTTTATTTTGGTTTTTTGAGACAGGATTTCACTATGTAGCCCTGGCTGGCCTTGAACTATGTAGCCCAGGCTGGCTTCAAACTATCAGCAATCCTCCTGCCTCAGCCTCCCAAGTGCTGGAATTATAGGCATGCGCCACCATGCTTGGCTAAATAAGGGCATTTTAATCTAGAATAGCTAGCACCCAGCTATATGTAGACAAAAAATGTTTATGTATATGTGCATTTAATTTTTGAAGTGGAAGATTTTTTTTTTTAAGATTACAGTAATAAATGCTAACAGTTATAACTAAAAAGTAGCTTAAATGGTTTTGCAAGTCATTGTGATTACACAGACTGGTTCCTCAATTTATTTTTTTGGCTTTATTGCCTGCAGCTTTAAAAATATGGACCTAATTTTCGTATGCTTTTCAGGCTTTCTTCATTACACTTAAATGCATCAGAAGGTAGACTATTCTATGTGTGTTTTTATCCTTCGAGTTATTGTCATAATTATGTTGAAGTACAAAAATACGTTCTGTAATGTGAAGTTTGTGTTAATTTAGCATAGGGCAATTTTATGCTTGGCACAGACATGAAAAGCTGGCTTTTTATAGAAGACTGGCTACAAGTTTTTTAAAAGATCATGCATTTTAAAGATCGACTGATGGCTCATGGAAAACTTTGTAAAATATTTAGATATAGTTCAATTGATATCTTTTGTATTCACATTCCATGTTTCTTATTAATACAGGGTTTTACTTAAAAGCAGGTTTATTGTTTCTTAGAGGTGGACTCTACCTTAATTCAAAATTGAACTAAATTCAAAAGTATTCCCTGGCATGTGCTGAATCTACCCACTGAAAGATTATTTGGAGGCTTTTTTTCACATAAATATTTTTGTATTAACCTTTTAAAAAGTTTTATTTAGTCCCTGTGAAATATGCTGGCTCTTCTAGGTTCATTAGAGTTGAAACCAGGCACTGAATGTACAGTGCTTAATGTAGTAGAAATGTGATAAAAATTTTGGTAAGTCCACTAAGATCCTGAAAGATCAATAAGAACTCTAACCTGTCCCCAAAAGTTTTGTCTTTGGATCATCTCTAATTGGCTTACAGTTCATAGAGGGTACAGTATGTTGACTGGCTCCCAGGCAGGGTGGCACATGGCAGAGGGGCATTGGAGGGGAGAAGCAGTTCATGAAAGGCAGAAGGTAGCAAAAGCAACAAGGGGCAACCACAGCTGTTTCTACCCCTTATATCTTATCCAGGTTACTTAGGGCGGGTAGCACTGACACCTTTAATCCTAGTGCCCTTGGTCCTAGCATTGCACCATGAATCAGTCCTAGCGTCATACACTCTAGATCCAGCCACTTCAGAAAAAGCCTCACCTATGATTGCATGAGGCTTTGGGGGGACATCTAGACACAGCCATAACAGGAGACTTCCCTGAATGAATTTCTTTTGGGGCTCCCATAGCAGAAACCATTTTTTAATGTGACAGTTAAAATACTTAGAGCCATTTAGATTTAAATATAAAGCTGAGTAATTTAACTTATCTATTTATTTAGACATAAATACTATGCGAAAAGAGTGTAGCTGATCTGTAAGTGATCTTATTTAGAAAGATTGGGGGGTTTTGTCGGGGAGCCCAGTACTGTCTCTCTGAGACAGGTGATAGAAGTGCTCTTCCTGCCATAAGTAAAAGAAGAAATATCCAGATATTCTAGGAAGGTACTCTTCTTTTAATTTGGTGGTAATGTTGGACCTACCTAAGAATGAGAAGCTGTAGCCATTTTTTTTTAAAGTCACTTTAGCAAGGATTCTCTTTTCTTTTTCTTTTTTTGGTACCAGGGATCGAACTCTGGTCCTTGCGCTTGCGCAGCAGGCGGCGAAACCACTGAGCTAAATCCCCGGCCCAAGGATTCTCTTTTCTTGCTGAGTCTAACAAGGTAGATGTAATGTTAGGCTTGTGAACAGTTGAGTCTGTCTTTAAAGGCTGATTCATTTAAAGGAAGATTTTGAAAATAGTCTTTAATTATATTAACACAGAAAATATTTTTCCTGAAATATTCTCAGAAAAAATTTAGTGAATATAAATTTTCATGATTTTTAAAACTTACTTCACTCATATTTTTATATACACAAAAAGATATCAAATTAGTGTTTTTTTAAAAAGGAAAATGTATGAGCAATTTAAGGACACATTTATTTATTGTATTATGAAAGTGTTTTTAAGGATAAGTGCAAAGGATGAAATCATAAAGGAAAAAGAGG